TTGTATAAAAAATGAGTTAATAGAAAATGAAAAAATTAAAGATAATAAGGTAGAAATGAAAAATGGAAAAATTGTCGGAAGTAGGTTAACGGAAACACAGGAAATAATTATAAAGAATAGGGTAATAGGGGAAAACAGAGAAACTGAAGAAAGTAGGTTAATAGGAGGACAGGAAGAAAAGGTTAAAAATCGAGTTTTGTTGAAACGGTTGGGACCATCGGCCCCACAACCATCAAGCACGGTACATGGAAGATCAAGGAAGATAGTTAGGCAAAGGGAAGAAATGAGCAACGAGACCCCAACCCTGACGAATCAAATCCCACCACTCATGTCCCTAAAAATCCCATGCCCCTTTGAATTGCAAGATACCCCCTACCCTCAACCCTTCAAAAGACCAACCTACAACCACTCCGCCCTGAACCATATCCCACCCCTCATGTCGCTGAGAATTCCATGCCCCTTTCACCTTCCGCAGAACCCCTCCCCCCGGTCCATGAACATTTACCATCCCCCTGTCCCAATCCATATCCCACCCCTCATGCCCCTGAACATCTACCATCGCCCTGTCCTAAACCATATCCCACCCCTCATTCCCCTGAACATTTACCATCCCCCCGTCCTGAACCATATCCCACCCCTCATTCCCCTGAACATTTACCATCCCCCCGTCCTGAACCATATCCCACCCCTCATTCCCCAGAACATTTACCATCCACCTGTCCTGAACCATATCCCACCCCTAATGTCCTTGAATATCCCAGCCCCTGTTGAATTATACCAACCACTCACCCCCTACCTCTACCCAACCACAAACCCGAAAATACATCGAAGAGACCCAAGAAAGCCCCGAGCTCCCAAGAAAACCAACTCCCAGGAAACCCAACCCAGTTCCGAGGTATCCCAAGAACACACCGAACACGATGGACATCCCACACCCGAACAACCCCCAACACCAAACCCTGCTCCCAGTACCCCAAGCAAACCCCGAAAGGTCCAAAATAATCCCAAACCAGGCCCCACTATCCCAGGAATCCCCCGCCCAACAGGAACACTCGATACTCCCTGAAGGCCCAACCCCCATAGTACCCCCTGAACATTCCGAAACCGAACACATCACCTCAGTAACCCCAAACCTAACCTCACTCCCCCAGGAATTTCCGCCCCCTCAGGAATCCCCTGCAAATCTAGAACCCTCAAACACAACCCCAAACCAGTCCCCAATAGCCTCCGAAAATTCAGAACCCCAGGAAGACTCAACCCCAGAAGCTAACTCCGAACATCATGAACCCCATCCCATGACCATACTGACCCCGAATCTAACCCCACTACCCCAGAAAAGAATATAGTTAAGAATATAGTTAGGAATGAGTTAGGAATCTTAAGGAACGATTGGAATGACGAACCCCGAAAACAAAAAAAAAAAAAAACACAATACAATACAATAAAAATAAATAAAAATGATAATAAGATAAGAATAAGGATTAAGACTAGGATTTAGTATTAGGTTAGTTCCTCCCGAAGACGGGAAGTGATCAACACCCCACCAGGAAAAAGGTTAAAATTGAGGATTTATGAAGTAGGATTAGGTTAGTTCCCCCCGAAAGATGAAAAATGACCCCCCCAGAAAATAAATAAATAAATAAATAAATAAAAATAAAAGAAAGTAAAAGAGAAAGTGTACAGTGCATGGAATCGGTTTTGATCTTTTGTCGGACCCGCTGCCCCTCACATGAATGTACGAATCGTTGGAAAAGGGAATGTAATGCAGAGGTAACGGGAGGTTACTGATATTAGCTAGAATAATGTACTATAATAATGAGTGATTAGCCTTCCTTCCAGCTCTTCACTCCCGGAGTCAGCGGTAAAATCATGGAAAAAATTAAGGTTTGGTATCGTTGAACATGGGCTTATGAAAACCCCATGTATTCTCTACCCCCGGGACAGCTGTGACGAGGCAGAATTTTGCCCCCCCCCCCCCCAGGCCCCGTAATTAATACTTATTATTTTTCCTAGGCTAAGTTAGGTTTAAGTTACTCTTTTTTGCCACCGTTGGAGAACCCATTCCCGAGATACTCCTTCCCCCTACCCCATTTCCCCTCGCCATGGTACTCACATCAACCGTGGAAAAGGACGACAACGATGAAGAAGAAACCCCCCCCCCCCGTTTCCCCTCAACGCCGTACTCATCGCAGACTGGCTAAAAGGAGAAAACCCCCCACGAAGAGGCTGGACACAAGAGATTGTTCGGAGGAGAATTTCATTATGTTGGAGATTTGGAGCAAAAAAAAACGAGCATCGCCAGTTGCATCATCAACGTCTTCGTTCCTCATCTAGGATTTCAGGCACATACAGCCCCAGACAGATCTCTTTACACTTTTTGTTTGCGACTTCAATCGTTTTGCTGTTTATTCATTCAGTTGATTTATTTGGGAACTATGAAGACTAGAAAATTGAGCAGTTGTGTTGATGTGTCACTGACAGAAGAAAATCTCGTCGAATTTGTTGACAAGGGCAAGGACTAATGAATGGTAAATTTCTGCAAAACAACATAAGTGTCATGGTGACATTTCTATTTTTTTTATGCGATCTGTTAAACTCTCGTTAATAAATTAATTATTGTAATATTTTCCAGGTGTTTGCATGCATTATAAACAGAACTTTCACAGAAACCGAGTGCAAATAGTCCAGTTCCCATTACTTTCAACGACTTTTCCAATTAATGAATTCTCCAAAGGGACATACAGTTTTTCATTAATAAAATGGCATATGATCATGAATTCTATGTGGAGGCTCTGAAGAGGTGAATCCGGTGAATTACCGTAGTTTCTAGTTGATGTAGATGATTATTGACATTTATTAACTAACGAAACACTCGAATATTTGTGACATTTTTTTTAATTCAAAGCTTCTCAATTTAATAATTTTTTCTGATAATTCACTAAATTTGGCGTTGATATCTATTTAATTTATGTTGTTTTTCTTCTAAAATATATTGTTCATTGTCTTTTTTTGAATAATCTGAGATTATAACATAATTAATTCGAACAATTAGCAACAATAATTAGTGAAAAATTTTCGGATTATCGAAAAAGTTTCGAATGATACGAAATGATATCATGAAATTGATGGAATGAGTGGGTGTAAAAATTAGTTTCAATGTCATTCAATCAACTTTAAATGTATGAAACATCTTGACAGAGATTTGATGTATACACTCAAGAGTACAACTTCAAATTGAAATATTTCAGGACATTCGAGTGTTCAAGCTGTATATGCAAGTTAGCTCTACCAGCTTAAGTAACAAGTGTCCAACGGAGATCTTAATAAGCCAAGGACTGCTGTGGTCATATATATTGAATATTATTACAGCATAGCAGCCGAGTAATTGTATTGGTGACAACTGATCTTCAGATATTAATCATCTAGTCAAATAGTTCGTAGGTGAGACGTGCTGTTCAGAATAGAATATTAAAACTTGTTTTATAGAGATCCTGAATATTCAGGAAAGGAAACGTTTATTTAAATTTCATCCACAAATCACCAATTATCCAGTTTATTCCGTATTTTCTTAATTTAATCTTTTTAAATTAATTTAATTAATTCAATCTTTCTTTCTTTTCCTCTAGGTAAACAGAAGAACATCTAGCATCCTTCTCTGATATGTGCAACATCTTGGAGATCCCCTCAGCTGGTGGTGTCTGTGGACATTTTTTTTGTATCTTTTTACGTCAAAAGGTTTTTTCTATCAGAATAATACGCTTCATTTGTACAGGTACTTATAAACTTAACAGTTGATTAAATTATCTTTCAATAGTATTATGTGGTCTAAATAGTATATTATGCAACACGTGCGTAATATATTTTTTGACTCGTGGGGGGTTTGTAACACGAGCCAAAGGCGGTTAATCCCACGAGTCAAAAAATATATTACGCACGTGTTGCATAATATACTATTATGTCATCGCGCCCGGAATCCGCGATTTAACCGAGCGAAGCGAGGTTAGAATCGCGCGATTACGGGCACCGATGGCATAAAAACAATAATTGATTCTTCTTTCTGGTATTCGAACCAGGATGTTTCCACTGAGTCATGATTACGTGAAAAATGGTGTGGAAATCCCATTTCAGTTCGTGATGGATATTTTTTCAAAAAATTAGTCATTCAAAATTAGTAGAAATTCACTCATGTATACACATATCCATAATATATTCTTATGGGATTTTCCTTCCACTCATATTCTAATGCAGTTTTTTTTGTATTACAACGTTCCATCGAATGGTGATTTTATCTTTCCTTAAAAAGAAGGTGAATTTATTCATTTTTATTAAAAAATAATTCTATCAATGGCTGAGAATCAACGTTGATAAATGTCAAATTTTTATCTAATTGGCGTAAATATTAGTATTATCACATCATTGAAAAAAATTTTTTGTTCTTTTCATCTTTGAATTTTTAGCGATGAAAATCACAGTTAATTGACTGCTAGTCCTTTCATTTAAAGTAGAGAAGTGTTTTAGAAAAGACAACTCAACAAGGAAATACTACGTCCAAATATACCGTCAAAAATTTTTTTGTTGTAAAATATCACCCAACCTACTCATAGTATTTTCATCCACAAAAAAGCTTCATTCTTCAAAATGTTAGCGAATTTCTCATTTTTACAGGGCAGTAGTCTTTGATAATTGACATCGCTATTATTGCATTTTTGCAATCTGCCGCGAAAAATCGATAAAAACGAAATACTAGTCTGGTCGATACTGATAACTTTCAATTGTTATTTAAAAATGGCTGTTGATGGTTGATGATCTAACTCAAAAAGACATTTGGCATTATTGCTGTCTCATTCTTGATGACCCGAATTATATTCTCCAATAGAATATTCCATTTCTGGTAAGTAAAATTGATTACAATAGTTTAAAATCGAAATCGGGATGTAAGATGTGCTCATGTCGTTTGATTGTTTTTTGGGCTGATAGGTTCATCTGATTCCTCTGTCAAGATGCCTCCTGTTTGTAAACTTCCCCGAGACATAGCAATAGATCTGCTCGTAGAGGCTGGTGGCAAATTCAGTGGTGATGGCCCACCTCCTTACAATGATACAATTTGGAAAATATTATCCGATATGACATAATTGGCGAGTGAGTGTTAAAGAGGACAGGGGAGGGATTCTCACAGAGGCTAGGAAAAAACTGAATGCTCAACCATTGAATTTTCTTCAGAAAGAGGCTCCTGCTGAAGAAACTGATAATGAAACAAATGATGAGTCAATTGCCAAAGAAAGGGATTCTGAAGAGGACAATAATGAAGCAGATTTCGATTTGGCACTGAGCCCAGAATAATGGCAGGAAATAAAACCGATGGAGAATGATGATCGCCGAACAACTCATACTTTGAGGCCCAAAGTTTGGGCAAACGTAGTGAGCCTGGCATTCTGGAAGCAGTGGAGACTTCCTTGTGCATTCGTCTTTAAACGAGGAGAAGTCAACGTATCTGACAATCGACTCCACTTCATAAAAATCCAGGAAGTTTGTCGTAGCAAAAAATGCAACAATAGTTTCCGAGGCTATGTCGATAAAGAGCCTTCATCTTTAACAGAAGAGCTGTTAATTCGTGTCAAAACCCGCGATACGTCTGGAGAGGTACACGAGCTAGTGAGACGTCCATTAAATGGCAAAAGGAGAAGACAGCTTGGAAAAGCTGCTCTATCAGAAGGCAGTGCCAACAATGTAAAAAAACAATTGGCCAGAGAAAATCTTAGAAGAGGCGATATAGGTGGCCCAAACGAACCGTCCCTCGATGTTTTGCGTCATGCTAAAAAAGAAGCTATTGCTGAGGAATTAGGCACGAATAGAGTAAAAAATGAAGACATGATCCAAACCATTGAAAGAATGAAATATGAGAAAGAATTCATGGGATCAATTATTGATACTGGATACTGACCATATTTCACTTTTTATGGCACAAGTGAACAAAAGAGTGGAGGCTTACAAGCAGTATCACTATATGCACAGTAAAACCTCCACTATTTCTATCGATTCTACAGACAGTGTAGTAAGAAAATTAAAACGTTCACTTAGGCTGCAATCTGCACATATTTTTTTATACACCATCATGATTCATTTCAACAAGTCTAGCATTTCACTCTTTCAAATGCTGTTGGAGTCTCAAGAGAGTGAAAAAATTGAATTTTCGCTGAGGACTTGGCTGCGAAGTGTCGATTATCAAAAACCAAACGAGGTGGTTATTGATGGTTCTGAGGCCTTAAGAATAGCTTGTTGTAGAGCTTTGAATGATTTATATATCAAGTATTGCATTACGTCACAATATGTTTCGAAGCCACATCAAAATGTCAGCAGGTACCTAGAAGCTTAATATCAACACTCATCCGTCTAGATCTCATTTTATTCAAGTTTGGTGCCGATTGAAATGTTTGAATAATCATCCAGTTCGTCAAGTTCGAGATTTTTACATTCGGCTTATCGCAATCATGATGGATTGCCAAAATTTCCAAGATTTTCTCGAAGTTTTCATGTTTACATGTGTTGTATCATTCCAAGCATTTGAAGATTCCGTTCTAAACTTGAAATCCAACGCAACAAAGAGTCTTGAATACTGCAGAAGCACGAATGAAACTTGAAGACATGATTCGAAAACGCCCTTTGGACGTCGATGAATTCCTGCAAATCCTTGAGCCACCACATGACGAACCCATCCCTCCAGATGTTGAGCTTAGTGAGGAGTTTCCAGACATTGCCGTTTTTTTCAAGAATTTGATGAATGAAGCAGTAGAAACCAGCTCTAAAGGTTCACTTTCGAACTTCTATCGTTTACCTACCTTTTCTATCGTTTATGCAAAAATATTCCCTCTTTGGACTTCAGTTTGTCTTCGATACTATGCTGAACACGCTACAAGCAGCTACAATGAACAGGGGATTCCGGGAAATTAAACGGGATATGTGTAAGAAATTCACGTTGCCAAGATGTGGCTAATTTCCTTCGCATTCATCTTCGACATTTGATTGGAGGGAGTCGGGATTTCTCTGGAGAACTACTCGATTTTAGAGCTCAAGCTAAAAAAGTCCCTGAAACCAAGATGAAAGAGACGAGTGAACAAGGCTCGAAAGTCCGTGAGCGTGAAACGAACCCCAACGATTCAAATTCTCGAGCTGAGGAAAATTGGAGAAATAAAAGGATCAGCTACACTCGATTCAAATGCCTAGATTTGAAGACGACAGAATATTCGGTTCAAGGACTTGATTCACGCGATGACATCGAGAGCATTAACACATACCCCTCGCCCAATCAGCCAAAGTCCCCTCCCCCTGCAGTTTCAGAGTCGTTCCTCACTTCTCCAAACCCAGGAATTCGCAATGCTCCGTCATCTACCCCCGTAAATTCAAGTGATATAATTCCGAATCAGACCACGACACAACCTGCACCTGTTGAGAAATCCTCTTGATCAGAATTTTCAAAAAACAATTCACAAGATGTTAAGAATGGGACACACATGATATCATCGCATCGAATCACCGAGACCGATGGAGCATCCAAAGCATTTCGTGAATCAAACAATAATGGTGTCGGATTGTATGTACCCGAAACACCATCTCCAGATTCAATGCAGTCACATGATCGAGGATGCGAAGGGAATTCGACGTATTCACTTGTAAAAAAACCTTCCAAAAAAAAATTCTTCATGTCATGTCCAGAAGCCGTTGTAGATCTGACTGCAAATAAGGAAAATAGTTCAAAGAAAATACCTTTCAGGGGTAGAACTAAGCGCCGTAATTACTTATTACGGAATGCAGTTTACTGTGGAGCCTACAAGATTGACGGAAAAATGTATTTCATGAGAAGAACATATGCGTTTGATTCCCTCACCTCTATCTTAGTGACAGCAGCTTTGGATGATCATCATTATCGTTGTTTTATGGAGCAAGCCGAGAATAAAACTCTGTCATTCATATTGAAATTTCGTGAAACGGGAGTCACAGCACACTTGTATAAAGAACACTTTCTGCTACTAAAACCTTTTTACGAAGATACCATAACAGTAACTAGTGTGCAAAAAATGACGTTCGTGACTTCTCACATGGCCACGGACAACCCAACGGATTTATGGATAAAATTGTTCGAGTTTCATCCAAGTACTTTCCACACTTCTGAGTGCAATTTGAAAATGTGCGTAGGTGAAATTGAACATAAGGAGACAATCCAGATTGACCATTCAATAATTCGTCGACACGGTTTCAAGGCTCTCCAGAAAGCACTAGAGTTTCATGCTGTCATCTACAACAAGTCATCTACAACAAGACTTGTGTATGTGGACACGCTACTTGCACTGAAGAATCGCAGGGTATTAATCATATTTACGTTGAACTTGGCACAAGAACTGCGCACAATTCATCTCCGATAAGCGTCCGGTTGAATGCTATTCCAGCACAGCTAACATTAGATACCCCTTACAGGTGAGGCGTCATCGTCTTGTATGCGTAAAACTTTTGGATGCATCTCTATCGGCAGTAGTATAATAACTGTAAACCTGATGGAGATGGTGGAATTTTCAGAGAAACTTTATTTGTAGCTAATTTTATTTTTACAGAAACAACTTCTATAAAAAATCTGGTAATCTAAAAAAATGGGACATTCTCCAAAAATTGATTTCGCTCACAAGCTCACATTTTTTCACTCACTAACGATTTCAAAAACTTGTTCTTTTTTTCTGGATTTCATCTTATATTAATCATTTAAATTTAAGCAGTGAAGGAAAAAATCAATGTAGCCGCAGTCTTTTCCGAAATTACTACTGTTTTTACATCAATGGCGTTTTCCAATCGGGAAGTAGTACTAATTTTACGGACTGGTTGAAAGTACGACTTGTTTGACCACATTAGTTCATTTTACCACTTTACTCCTGATTTCTCTTAATCTCTTTTCCAGGCTCGTTGGTGTTATCGTAGAACATGCAGACCATTTCACAGCTTTCTGTCGTTGAGCCTCAGGATACTGGTAAGAATACGACGATGTAAAAGCCTCTACACGTGCATGTAAATCTGAGGAAGAAATCGCACCGACAGGGGCAATTTATATTAAAATTATTTCTGAGAGCATCTAATAAGGACGTGCGATAGTTCAGGATATGGGAACTTTGGCAGGAAAAGATTTGATTCAATTGTATGTTGAATATGCTCAGAATATAAGGAATATTAAAATAGGTGATTTTTTTTGCAGGCATGAAATGACTAACAATGATTCCAGTATAATTTTACGAATTTGTTAAAAAGGAAATGAAGTCTTGATTTTTAAGGGCATGGTAGTCATTTTCTGTAATTGAATGTTAATTTTTTTAAATCGCTACTCAAATTTTCAAAGCTCATCTCTAATTTTCAAAAATGTCGCACGCAATGTCAATGATGGAAACCGTTTATAATCGTTTTGCTGGTCACTGGACTAACCTTTAATTTTTAATTTTTCATCATTTTCGCCAAGTAGCAGTTTCTAGGTTTGAGTATTATTAAAAAACAATCTCATAAAGATCTTTTTGTCGTAGATTCACATTTAATCTGTCTTCATAGAAAAAGTTTGTTAATCAATTTTTTTTAGTCCCTTCCAATTAGGAAACAAAGACACGACTATTTTTGGAAGTAAAATATCGATATTGATTAAAACAAAAACCTTACGATGAGAAATTCTTGACTTGTCATAACGAACACAATTTATTATGAGAAGAAAATGATTTGATGAATCCATTCTAGGTGAATCTCTTTATTCAATAATTTCGTCGCATCAAACTCTAAATATTTGACAAAAATTGTGAAAATTTATTTCCGTTCAGTATCAAATCTCTTTATTCAATATTTGTGCAGCCATGAGCTTCTCAACACAATCAAAGAAGTGATTGTCTGAAAAAAAAATAGCTCCAAACTACAAATCAAATGTCCACAATTTTCATGGTTTGCATGATATCTCAAATTATTTTCCCACTACACTAAAGATCTAAACATGAAATTCCATTATTCGATACTATCTATTGACCATGAGATAGAAAAAAAAAATTAGCCGTTGTTGACGAACTAATTTTGATATTAAAAATCTATGACCAACCAAACACTACGACAGCATTTTCTCTCCACGATTCCATAATTACCTTCTCATATTTCCGATATTGACTCGTTGTGGATGAGCTCTTCAGGATAGTAAACAACGAGTGGTTTCGAGCTCTCTTCTTCGTCTACCTTCGATTGTATTGAGCAGGTTAATATGTTTGGCAGTGCAACTGATCATGCAACAAAATACAGTTGATCCAGTAAAAACTGGCAAATTCTATTTTTTGTAGAAAATTTGACTCCCTACAAAAAAGTTTCTGTGCCATTTTTCTGACTATCTACTGACAATTTACTAATATTGATATTGTCAATTAAGCTAAATTACTCCAAAATGCATTGAATGTTATACCTGATATATTTGATTTGTTGAGACAACTTTCGACAATTTGAATCACTGTCGTAGTCAACATCGAAGAGTTTATAATCAACCGATGCAAGGAATTATTACATCCTTTCCTGAATGATAAATTAATGACGTTTAATAAGGTAATGTTAAAAAAAAGGAATTAGTAGTAGAGTTATCCTCCGCCATCTTGAATTACACCGATAGTCTACATACAAGTGGGGACTTGTTTATTGTAATTACAATAATTAACTGAGAATTTGTCAAGTACAAACGCTAGAATTGGCTAATTATCAAAATACAATCGATTTTGGGGCCAAATAATCCCACATACCCAGGAAAACATAACTTTTAATATGTATCGGCCAAGTACATGGGCCATTTTTTAATTATGTATAAATAAATATTTGGAAGACGAACAAACGATTTTGAATTTCGAACAATCATGTACAGACGTAGTACAAACGACCTGATTATTGCTTTTCTTTGATAATTAATCATCTGTCGGCTATCAATGATCTAAACAATTTGCTACTGAGGAATTGCTGAACTGTTATGCTGGTCAAGTTTTTGGTACAAAATATACAATTCACCGGCTTAGAAAACTCAGAAATTGTTCATTTCGTCGGAAATTTCATAGGCAGTAATGACGACTAACTTTATACCAAATTTCACAGCCCAATCGATCGAGCCGTTTTTGAGAAAGATGTGCACTCGGTGAGTGGGGACGATCACAATTCGGGTGTTGACGTTGCGTTGTAGAATTTTGAATGGGTGAGAATAAGAAAAATATTGAGCATTTGTTGATTATGGCCATAGATCGAGATTCATTTATGCAAGTATCACAGTGACTACTTAATGGCGAAAAAAATGAAATTCGATGACTTAAATAATGAAACCGCATCTGAATTCCACAGGAATGATAAATTGGACTTGGAATTCAACTGTACTCCTCCAGTATTATTGCAATAACTTTTGTCTACTTCTTCATCATATATATATCCTCGTGAGTTTCTGCACTCTCTTTGTTCCTATTAAAGCCATGTGACAAACTATTAAAGAAGCCAGGACATTCAGAATATTCAGATACCTGATGACTCAGTGGAATTTCGATACAATAACACTTCGTGCTTTCTTGGAAGCACTTCTCATCGGCATTTGCTACAGGCTTCTCGCATACAGAGCAATAAAAATGAAAAACAATTTCGTAGCTCGAATTCTTAAGCCATTTTCGGAAGAACTATATATAGTGTCTTGAAACAATTATTGTTGGCGGGACATATTGCGCCAATCAGAAGTAATAAATCAATTAAGGCTGAATTGCATAAGTTGTGCTTCAAGATTGTAACAGAAGATCGACGATAGTTATTACCTTCGCCCGTTCCCGTGCTCGCATCCTAAAATCCAATCGAATTACTGCGGGCGCCAGCTAGCTTTTTATAGGCCAAAACCTAACGAAAACCGAAAGAACCGAAACAAAGGCCAGGAGGGGGGGGGGGGGTGCTCTGCCTTGCCCGAGGTCAGCCGACCTCATCAAACCTAAAATCCCGAAATATCCAAAAACAAGAGCACGAAAGGACAGGACGAGTGGGGTTGGGACTCGTCCTCGCGACAACACAAAATCCGTAAATCCATAAATCCAAAAACCGGGGAGTCCGTACTCCCAGAACTAGAACGATAACCTCATTACCGTAAAACTACCCGCGAGAAGCTAGAAGCCGATGACGAATGGAACGGAAGCGGGAAGACCTGGGTTGCTCAGGATGCTAGGTCGTGGAGAGAGGGCCAGGCTCCACGGATACGCGACTCTAATAACCGAAATCTAGACCGAAAAATAATACAGAGAACAGATCGTGGTTCGGGATACCGAGAGCATACTTGCGGGGTTCGGGGACGCTGAGGGCGACCTCTGAGAACACCTCGCCGAGAGAGCGACGTAAGATAGCGCAGTGCCGGGAGGCCGAGAGCGTGGGGATTACTCACCCAAAAGCACACCATCGAGAGCGTGACGGGCCCACTAGGGTGGCCCCAAATGTAGAGAGCCTAACTGAGGAGAGGGTGACTCTCGCCCGGAGAACATCACCAGGAAGAACATGACCCTCACCTAGAGAACACCAGCCGAGGAGGGTATTGCCCTCACTCAGAGAGTGCTCCCGGGGAGAGGATGATCCTCACCTAGAGAGCGTAGAAGACCAATGCTGGGCATTGGGAGCCGGCTAAGGGCTCGAGAGAGAGCTGCCAGTGGTCCGCACTGGGAGCCAGCCGAAGCGGCCCTGCCGAGTGAGTGGGCAGTGTCGGCAGTAGTGCCGATGTACCCAACTCTCGACTACGGCTGGGTGAACTGCCGTGTGCCGGGACGTGCTGCCCTCGCCGCAGGGAGGATATCGATTAATGCTCGTGAGTTTATGTAGAGAAAGATATAAATTTTATCAGATAGAGTTACCGTTTATCACGTGTCCAAGGACCCAACACTGTGAGCAAGAGCGGGAACTCTTTTCATTTTCTACTTGGCATGCAGTCCGCTGCGACCTCATATAGATTTCCTTGAACTGACGGGATCTCCTGAAAGAACTGCATCGTATCATTGGAGCACACAGAAAAGGAAAGGAAACGAATCGGAGCCAACTTTCTCGGTAAGCTAACGTGTTCCGGCCCAAGTTCCCTGGATAGAATAATGATGATGAGAGGAAGTAGAGAATCGAGAGAGAAGTTGGGGATTAATCACTGATTAGCATATTAATAGGGTAAGTTCAAGAAATTTACGATTTTTTGTAAACGAAAACTTTGACACGCGATTTCTCGGATTTCCATTTTTATGATTTTTTTAAATTGGCGGGTAAGATAGGAAAAAAAGTAAACGTCCTATCAAAACGAATCAGGGATACAGGAATACAGGTATCATTAAACAGTATATCCAAAATTTAATTACTTAAATAGTGCTTTGCAAAAACAACTCGGAAAATTTCCAAGTTGCTATTCGCCCTTGAATGGCCGCTGCAATCCTCAGACATTCTTAAGTGAATCCGTAAAAACTGTTTTCCCTTCATACAAAAAGAAACTATTACCCCAGGTAATACTAAAAGTCGCGATTCGCCCAGTGGCCGTTGCAGACACAAAAACCATATGAGACGAGCTTTTGCTTTTTTGTTTTTAATATAAATGGAAAAAAAAACATATATATATTTAAATACCAATGAAAAGCAACAATATTTCTACAAATATATCTTATTGATTTTTCACCCCGGTACCCGCGGTGAATCTCCGAAATCCAGAACAGCTAAACAAAAAAAAGGAGAGACAATCTATACCCTCTGAAAAACGAAAAAAATTTTAAAGAAATTGTGACCTGAAAAATGCAGGCCTGTGACGAGAGGAGCAGAAACAACGCACAAGAGATATTGTCCAAATCAAGGACCAATAAAAAAAAAAATTCTTCAAAACAGATAAAGGTCAGTGGAATAAATAAAAACCTTCTATTCTCTTCCCCGGAGGTCGTTCGCCACTCCAAAAAAAAGGAGTACAATTTTAGGAAAAAAATGTGCTTTTTCAGAAAATTTTCAATACCAGTTTCGGGAATTAAAATTCATCAACCTAGTTTCCTCTAATAATAAAAATCACGAAACCAAAAACCACGTAAGTGATTACTCGTTGAACCTCGGCGATGATTACTTGACGAAAAAGAAATATGAAAATCTATTAATTCCTTTACCGAAATCAATGGAAAATAAATGTCTACTCAATCAACCATCTAATTATTTCTCATTATTTTGAAAAATTCCGGAAAAAACGTAACAGGTGTGTGGTTTCGTTCGTGTCCGGGTAGCTCGAATCCATTTCTACCGCTACTATGCCCCGCTGACCCACACCATTGAGGAGTTTACTGCTTTTCCCGATCGGTTGTCCACGGACGTGAGACAGCACTCCTCCTCAAAATCCAAATATATATTCAATCGGACATTAAACATTTCATTGCTCCGGTGATGTCCAAGAATATTCGAAAATAGAAACGGAAAATAATTAGTTATCTCGCTAAAAATGGTTATAAATAAGTAAAATAATTAACTGCATAGTTACCCGTGTAAACAGAGAAACCTGCATACTGGGAACTCCAGACAATCCTGCAAAAAGAGAGAGAATATTAATAGATATAATATTGTAATAATAAGAGTAAACATTACTTACCATGGGCAACATAACTCCACCTGTTAAAATTATCCTTGACGGCTCCACTACAGCGCATAAGTATTGTCCCATAACAGCAGGCGAGTAATTGCCGCCGAATTATCCAAATAGCGATTGCCACGCCATCACGCAGGAGAACCTGATACTATTATAAATTCAAACGAATACAAATTCAAAGACATTGATTCTAATACAAATTCAATCCAAAAGGATTCAATACAACGCAATATCCTATGAACGAAATTAATACGAGACATTAAACAATTTTACATGCATCAAGAGCAACAAGCACAAGAATGAAAAAGGATCAATTATGTCCAAAGACGACCGAACAGAAATTATCACCTTAGTGTTGCGGATCACTAAGTTTTGAATTCAATCATTATATGCATAACCAAATAAAATACGGGACCAAGAAGAAGCCCACGAAATCAAATACAAATAATATACGGGATCAAAAAGAGCCTACAAATGCAAAATATAAATAGTGATGATTGTGAATGAACTGACCTGCGATGTGGAGGCAGGATCAAACCGTGATGATGAGGGATAGTCAACTGAAGACATATAGCAAAACTTTCCAATTCCAAAGCTTAGCGACGAAATGCAGCCACTGAAACTGAAAATAATCCAATTACAATGATAATGAATTACATTGCAAATAAATTATAATAAATGAATGTTATTTCAGGCAAATTTAAGACCTGACACAGAATCAATTATAATGCAAATGAATTATAATAAATCAATATTATTTCATGAAAGTTTAAGACCTGGCACAGAATCAATTATTATTTCAGGCAAGCTTAAGACCTGACAGAGAAACAGAATAAATTTTACTCAGGTATGTCTAAGACCTGAAACATAAACATATACAAAAACAAGGAGAAAATGTGATAATATCGAGTTTGGTACTTTAGCCTCAGAAAATAAATAAAAGAATGAAGAAGACAAGATATGACATAGGAGGGGCGTAACAGAATTTGTCACCTTGGCACGGCTAGTTAATTCCATCTATTCCAGGACCAATGTGACCGTCTGGAAGGTTCTACGACTCTAACAGCTACGCAGCATCCCTGGACTATGGCACAATCAATCGTAGAAATACCACTGAGAAGGCCACTAATTTGATGAACAGGATTAGGCGAGTCGCCGACGTCAGCATGCCCTACCACCCGTCGGTCACCTGTATACTGCTGGAATGACGAAATTGCTACCCTGCGGGCGGAGTGTAACGCGGCCAGGAGACTGGCGCAGCACGCTTCGATGAGGCAAGAACGACGCACGCTAGAGGAAAGCTTGCAAGAAAGCACTTCGCCAATTTGCGAAAGCGGATCAAACATAGCAAAGTTATCGCATGGAGGGATATCGGATTGCTCAGGTGGAGGATGACCTGTGGGGCAGGCCGTATACGGTGGTCATGGCGTGACTCAAATTTGAAGCTATGCCATCGCCTACGTTTCCTGTCCTGCTGGAGAGGATAGTCCAAAAGCATTTCCCCAGACAAGTCGACTTCCAGCTTACTAAGGCGGACGGAGTCACAACCGATACCACCGATTACGAAAAACGAGCAGATGGAAGCGTGTAACCGAGTGGGGAACACTAAGGGCCGGGCCCCGATAACGTCCCGAACGTAGCAATAAAGACCGCTATTCACGCCGTGCCAGACCAATTTATAGATATGTCCACTAGTTGCATCATGGAGGGTACTTTCTCCACAGCGTCGAAGAGGCAGAGACTGGTTCTTGTGACATGCGCCTAAGCCGCTTCCCTCCACTCCCCTGTGAGAGAGACAGATGGAGATAGATCCTGCTCCGGAAGGAAAAGAAGTCACCGGACGACCCAACCTCACATCGCCTTTTTTGCATGCTGGACACAGCAAGGAAGATTCTCTAGAACGGATTGTCCATACACGGATTGAACCCATCGTTGATCAGCTGCTGGCGGACAATCGTAATGAGTTGAGGAGAGGTAGGTAAACTCTTGGGGCCATATACTTGGTGATGTCTTCAGCATGTCTCCCGTTCCTCTGAAACATCATGTATGACGGACGGCTGAGGCTAATGCTTCCCCAAAATGTTCGGCTGGTGGCGCTTGCAGGCGATGTAGCTGTGGTGATAGTCAGGAAACAGCTTGACACATCCGCCTGACATTCGAAAGAACTTATGAAGAGATGCAGCGCTGGATGGAAACAGTAGGGCTTTGCCTAGCGGAACATAAGATGGAGGCAGTGCTGATTTCGGGTCGGCGGACCTGGGAAACCTTCGAGCTGCGAGTCGGTAACTTCGTTCTCGCCTCCCAACCGTACATACTCCTTGGGATGATTAATGATGCCCGGCTCAACTTTATGCAACAAGGGGAACACTCCACCACCACCACCAACGCCTCCGGAGTCCGGTCAGCACTCTCGCGACTCATGTCAAATATTGGTTGACCTAAACAGCAGAGGAGAGCGCTGTTTGCATCAGTTAGTACGTAGATGCTTACCTATAGTTTCTCCATCTGGGTGGATATGTGCTAAGGACGTAGGAGACCAGGCGTTAGATGGCAGCGGGATATAGGTTGAGTGCGCTTAGGGTAGCGATCACCTATAGTACGTTGTCAGACAACCCAATCGGTGTCATCGCTGGCATGATGCCGATAGAAATACTGACGGAGGAGAGGAGGAGTTCACTCTACCGACGAAGGGAGCACGGGTCAGCGTGCTCACTCCAAACTTCACGGGATAACGGATCCGCAATGGAGACGATTACGATAGCAAGAGCTAAGAGCCTTGAGAGACGGTGAACCAAGTGGGCTACCCCTTTGAAAGGAAGATGAGCGCATCGACTAATCTCGGAAGTGGGTATTTGGATCAGCAAACAGCATGTGGGGAGGTGAATTTCTAACTCATCCACCTGCTCTCAAGGCATGGATGCTTCCGGGCATACCTACATCGATTTGGGCAGATGACTACCCTGACTGCCCGATTCGCTGACGACCGGAGGAACTGGGCAAATTGGTCGAGATTTCCCGAAAACCTCTTTAAAAAAGCCTTTCTCCCCCTTCTCAGAAATAGCAGTAGTATCGCCCTTCGTACCTGAATCTGACAGACAGTTTGCTCCTACCAAAAGCTTACGAAACTTGAAAGAGATTCTTATATTAGAATGCTTAAAAAAAATCGTATATTAGAATGCTTTTCTGGGGTTTCGACTTAAATCGACGATCCCTATTATCCTGAAGTGCAACATCACTGCTAATTACTCTACTCAACCCTACGTTATTTTTCGAGCTATAAGTGACTTTGTTTTCTCACTATCAGACTTGAGCTGGATTGAACTTTACCATCGTTATTGCTTTGGCTCAAGCATCGCCCGTCTTCTTGAGCTTGGATTCCCGTCCGGGCCTGGCCTGGACCCTTAAGGTGTTCGAAGGGGATACCCTGTCGGGGATACCCTGTCGGAGATGCCCTGATCTTTCCGGCTCTCGAGTCTCCTCTTCTTGCCCCGCCTCTCCGCTGCTTTCTGCCGACGCCGCCACCGATGCATTCAACACTTCCTGATTGCAATTGACCACTACCTCGTTGATGACGGTGTCTTGCAATTCTGTCTGTGGCTCCGCTGTCTGGCACCGACCACATTGGTTTACGAAAGTCAGAATGTGTTTTGACAAATTCGACCAGTAGCTTTGGGCTATTCTATAGAATATGGTACCTTGAATTTCATCAACTCTATCGACCATCAGGCCAACCGCCCAATGGGATTTCACAATTGTGTAAAAGAGGCTCCTGTGATTGGTGATGACAGTAAAATCTTATCCCTCGAGGTTGCAGCGGAACTTCCGGATGGCCCGATAACAGCCATGTACTTCGGTTTCGTCGTAGTATAGATTTCTGGATCGCCAAGCCTACTGACATACACCATGCACCTCGCACCTATCATCCCTCTATGGGAGCCGACACTGAGCGGCTTTTTAGCATCTCGAAGGCGGTATCCGATCAGCGGTCCATCTCTAGGGCGGATTCTTCCTTGAGCCGCCTCAGGTTCTGGGTGGTCGGGCAGTCCACAATAGCTGAAGTCCTTCTTAGAGTCTACTTGAACTTCATTCTCATTTACGAAAAATCCAAGGTATTTCACTTAGGACCTCTAGAACTTGCTTTTCTTTCGATTAAACACCAGTCTAGCTTCCCAGATGTTTTCCAACACCCTTTGAAGCTCGAGGTGTTTTTTTTCATTTTTTTGTTATAATTCCATCTATGAAGGTAAGTTAAAATTCGAGTAAGGCCTCTAGGAGACTCCACTCATTGGCAAGTGTCCGAACCGAAAATTGACTTCTCCTTCCGACACTGATGATATGTTTAATGTCCCGAAATACCCTCAGTTAGGGTAAAACTCTTGATATCGAAATTCATCGAGAAGAGGAGAGGTAAAAATAATTTTCGGTACACCTGGAGAATCCTAGATGATTCCGATGACGCGAAGCCCATACTAATTGAATAGACGCTGTGACGTAATTTTCAGAGGTTCACGGAAACCTTTGTCTATTAACCTGCCCTCTGGTACGAAAACACCCGGAAAATAAAATCGGAAATAATAACAGGTATCTGCTCATTTATCGCAATGACCACCGTTAAAATCCTCCTCGGCTTTCAGCCTCTAATTTCCTTGCTGCTCGATACGTAGAGATTTAAAATCAAATAGAAGCTGAAAGGGGATGCAACTGGGATAAAGAAAAAAATAAAATAAAATAAAATAAAATCCTCTCAAATCGACTGAGCGTTATTAAACCCACAATGTAATGTTAAGTAGGTCACTATTGTCTGATCAAAATAATCAAATAGTTGAAGAAATCAGAAATAATAGAATAATAAAGAACGTCACGAGACTCTATTGTTACTAGTCAGAAAAGTCAAATGTTTTCATCAGAAATCATTTGAAGGAAATGGTCGAAGTAATTCAGTGATTCGAAACAATGCCGCGAACATGGAAAGTCCACGTGACCCGAACAAGAGAAAGATACAATAAATACCTAAATCGGAGACAAACACTTTCAAGGTCACGAGACTTTCAAAACAAATTAAATGAAATAAAAGAAAATTTAGTGACCAGAAAATGATCAAAATTCACGACACTAACAAATTTTTAACGGTCGCGAAACTCCAACAATTCAAGAAATTAATTCTGTCAAATAATCACATGAATAATAGAATTATTAAAAATCAAATCGAATTAAAAATCACAAGTTAATCTGAGAGAGGGAGCAAAAAAGTTACTGATCGAAATGGCCAGAGATTCTTTAATACGAATTTCAACGTATACTCCTGCGGCCTCGGATCGTGAACATCAATTACAGAAAATCACAGAATCAGAAAGCCCAGAACAAAATAATTAATAAAACGAAAGAAACGGCCACCATGCTTCCCCAGAGACTCGATAAGCCCTCCAAAAACTCAGCAGATTCAAACTAATATTCCAAATAAAATTAATAAAATATTCTCCTCTCTCAGGACTCTGGCCATTGAAGGTGATTTCCCGTATGGTGAAAGTCGAATAACGCGAAACGGTAGAGGAACAGTAACTGGTCAAAATACCACGTTATAACGCAAACGATGTATGGAACCCAGGGGTCCAAAGTCTGCTAGAGATATTTGGCTCAGGACACCCTGGCCTGAGGAACGACCTGGAGAGAAGAGCTCTGCACTACCCGGTCAACCGATGATCAAGGCATTTTCAAGAGGCATATTCTACCTGGAGATTACCCCGAGACCGTCAATTTTGCAAATTTCCTTACTATTTCGATGCTCTTATTTCAGCTCGAGAGATTCATCTCCAACAGTCTCTATTTTTTAAATTGTTTAAATTTCTGGAAAAAAATTGTTAAATTTCTATAGAATTATTTGTTGATTGATTTGAAATTCATAGGCGAAATTATTGAAAAATTTTGAGTCATATGATTAATGTCGATAATTATTATTATTATGGGTTGTAAATATTGAAAAAATCATGGTGAGAAAACAAAAATCATTGTTAGGACGACGCCATTTTCGCCAAATTTCGGGATATTTCTCCTCCCTTTTTTAAAGCTCAGGTATTGTG